TGTGTGTGTGTGTGTGTGTGTGTGTGTGTGTGTGTGTGTGTGTGTGTGTATACACAGCTCTAATTTAGAAAAAGTTGAGACTTTTGTAAAATGTACATCAATACAGAACTGAACTAGAAAAAGTAGTGAATTTATTGTATGAGCTGATTGGACTTCTTAATGCTCAATGTCTGTGCTCTCGACATTCAGRAATTATTATTATTTTTTTGGCAATTTGATTGTCTTTAAAAGTGTCTGGAGGAATCCTATAGATAGGTGTACTCTCTGACAGCCTCTGTCATCTGCTCCTTAGAACTATTTACATTGTTTGTAGCAAGCTTATGGAAGCAAAATTTGTGTTTTTTCTTTTGTTTGCATTAATAAACCTTGCCCACAAACTTGACCAATCACACAATTATTAGCACAAATTCATGTGAGAAAATGTTAGYCTTCAGGAGATGAAGACATGAGACACACTGATTATAAACTAATGTYACTTACACTGATGTGTTTGCCATGTGTGACATGGTTTTACTGCTTTTCTATTCTCTGTCTGATATTTGGAAAATGTATTTATTATTATTATAATAAAAAATAATTTTTACTTCAGTGTACCATTCAGTCTGAAATTAAACAGTTAGTGATTTTTGATTTCATTTAGATTTTTTGTTGACTTATCAGTAATTTTCACTTCAGTTTCTTGTTTTGTTCTTTAAATTTAAAGCAATTAGTATAAATGAAACAAGTAGAAGAAGTTCTTTCATAGCAGTGACCGTACAGTAATGAGGACAAAACGTTTTGTTGGGTGGGCGTGTCTCATTGTCTTATTATTAAAACCAAGCAACGAAATGTGTTATTTTCAACCATAACTAATAAGAATAAAATAATAAAATACTTAATGTCGGGATCTTGATGCCCTAACAATAACTGAAATAAAGATATGCAAGTGTGTGTGTGTGTGTGTGTGTGTGTGTGTGTGTGTGTGTGTGTTTGTGTGTGTTTGTGTGAGAGCAAAAGCATCTGGTCAGGTTCTGACTTCAGAAAGACTGGCCTTCTGGTCCTGTCAATGTTGTTACATCCAGAGTTACGTCTCACACAGGGACGCCTCAGCTGATTGGCTGTCTGTCAGTCCCTGTTAAAATAACTGTTTGACTTCCAGCATAGCCGCCTCCGTGTTTATTGACTCCGATAAAAACACCATCTTGTGTTGCYTCTGATCAACAAGGCCGGCTTTTGTCTTTGATTTAATTTAGCAAAAAGTTACACTTTWGTACAAACTCCTCATTTCAACAATGATCAAAGCCGTCTACCAGGACTGGACAGAATAAAATGTGGAGATGCATCGTCAAACAAATCTAGATATTTTTTTAGACTCATCGTGGTTATAAAGGTTATATTTATGATTTTATGTAAATTAATTAGTTGAACTGTCCTGAGAGTTGAGCTTAATGCAGTTTTGGTTTCAAAGGGATCTAGGTGGACGCTCTTTGCTCTCCAGGCTACGTAGTGGTCCTGGTGGACTGTCTTGAGAGCCAAGTTAGACAACTACACTACAGCAGTGGATGATTCATGATTTTGGCTAAATTTTCAGCCACAGAACCTGGGTACCTTTCTGTCATATCAACCATGAATGAGGATTCAAGAGTCAAAYGTGAGCCCGTTTGACAGCTGGATCTTGGACCAAGCTGGGCCATGATGCAGCAGGACAGCAATCTCAAACACAGCTGCTAATCCACAACAGAACGACTCAAAAGGAAAAGAATGAAGGTTTTGTGTTGGTCCAGTCAAAGCCCAGACCTCAAYTTGATCAGAGCAGAAAGTGAAGTCTGGAAACCTTAATGAACTGAAGTAATGTAAAGAACAGTGGGCCAACCTGTCACATTAGTTGACAAGATTGCGTCTAAATTTAGAAATACATTCAAAACATCCCAAGTAAAGGCACTACATGTGACCAGTTAAAGGAGTGCGTGTACCTGAAGCAGTCTCCAACGTGCGTTGAGGTCTTCGATGCGTTCCAGGTTGCTCGTCGACAGCTGGATGTCGGACGGTTCGAAAGTGGACGCCAACTGGTTCATGTGTGTTACATCGTCCTTAATCAGAGCGATTTCCTCCTGGAACTCCTAAAACACACAAATACTCAACTAAAGACTAAAGAAAATTAATGTTCTCACTTAGCTTGTTGACGAATGAAATTGGGATATTTYATATTTTTCCCCCTAAATGTTTAAACAATCACCTCTGCAAAAAATAAACATCATGTATTACAAAAACGCAGCAAGTCCTAGTAGTTAAACAACCAAGACGGCCAAGGCATTTCTGGATATTTAGCTTTTCCAAGGTTCTTCAAGTGTTTCATTGCTCACTCCCCTACCATCCTGTAAAAACCCAGGCCGTGCTCTGTCTTCTCCTGACCCTGACTCCCGGCTCATCTTCAAAACTGTAGCTCGTCTATTTGCTTGATTAGCATCAACATTCAGACTTTCAGCAGCGATGCTAACATGCTAACTGAACACAACTTTCAGATGAGACAAAGAGAAATTTACTGGACGGAAAGAGTCAGTGAATGGACTTGTTCAAAGCATTTACTTTATTTTTTGGTCAAAGGATGCTTTAAAGGTTTACCTTGACTCTGTCGATGTGTTCAGGTAAGGAGTCAATCAGTAGCTCTCCTACTGGTTCCCAGGCCTCTTTGACCATCTCTGCCTGTCTCAGCTGGGTGTCCAGCAGATCTTCTGCTTCCTGCAGCTCCATTAGCCTTTCCAGAGCCAGCTCCAGCTGCCTCTGCCAGTCGGCCGAATCCACGTTCAGACCCTCCCACTTGGTCACCACGTCGTCCGCCTCCTTGCGCACGAYTCGGCCCACGTTCTGAGCTCGCTCCTCTGGGCTTATAGCTTATGTTTGTGGGAGAAATGAGCGGAGAGGRAAATATACTTCAGTAATTCTGTGATTCTTTGGTCTCTCTCCTCTAGATGTTTAATTACTTCTATCAATGACGTGTTTTTGTTTTTCTGTTTTCCAGAGGAAAATACCAGTCCTTCTGTGTTTGTCTGTGTCTCTTTCCTGTCCCCTCAAACCCAACTGGTCGAGGCTGATGTCCTGTCCTGATCCTGGTTCTTCCTGTTAAAAGGGAGTTTTTCCTCTCCACTGTCACCAATGTGCTGCTCAGGATGGGAGACTGTGATGAAGTGATTCAACACAATCTGCTGGCTTCTTTAGATTGATTGTTTTTTGTATACAGTGCCCTGAGACGATGTTCTCTCACGATGTGAGACGATCAAATCAAATCAAGGCTGTTACCCAGCTCTAACCCTTAGCCAACGACTGGCTTAATAAAAGGTCTGATGTTAAATTACCTTTTGTGAAGTAACTGATCTGTTCGTGAAATGACAAGTTGTTTCCTCTCATTACACCTTTCAATGCCAGAAKCATTTAACCAGTTGAAAAATAATCAAAGCAACAAAAATATGCTATTTACATTTAAAATTTGAAAACAAATCTCTGGTTATTGAGTGAGATGTAGAACTTATAAGGAGAAAATTGTCCTACAGTTTCTACAATGAAAACCAAATTAATTCTTGCTTTTAGACATCTTCAGTTGTTGCCCAGTGGGAAGTCCACTAAGACGGACCTTTGTTTCCCTCAGTGCAGCTCTGACCTGCCACTGGAATTCCCCTGAATGTGTTAGAGCTGTTTAATGGAGCACAGTTTAAATTTGGGTTTGTTTTTTATTTTTTTTGGTCTATGTGCCTTGTAACCAGGCTGCTGCCATGGTGCAGACGGTGCTGCAAGAAAGCTTTTGCCTGAGTGTGAGTGTGTGTTTTCCACGCGAGGTTGTTACCAGGCTGTTACCAGGATCCAAAGCTTGAATGAACGAGTCGAAGGATGAAGACAAGTTCATATTTTACAATTATGTCAAATGTTCAATGCCAAAAACATCATCTCAGGGTGCTGTACACAAAATGCAAAATTATTACTAAATAAAAAAGTATTGAGGTGGAAATAACCACATCTTCTGGTCCAAGTGGAACTGCTGTTGCTCAATGAAGAAACTCTGAAACAGGCTGGTTGAACAGCAAGAATTTTTATTTTGCAGTCCAGGAGATTACAGCCAAAAACCAAATTATGGCCTTCAATGCCAAATGATTCACCAAGTAAGAAAGATGGAGAACGAAGGCAAAGGATGGGGGCGTACAAGGCCCTTTATAGGCTTCACAGATGTACCATAAATTTTGTCACGGTATACCTTCTTCCTAATATGGTAATATGTGTCAAGCTCTAAAGCTGGAAAATAAGAGACATCACATTTGTGCATTCCTGAGAAGAGGCCCCTCCACTCTTGGACACTACAGTGTATAAAAAAATCAACACACCAAATTCAGCATTTAGATGGTAGGTGTATCTTGGTAGTTGTATATATGGGTCACACCCACAGCGGACAGGAGTGGGCCAGATCTGGTGTCAAACTGACACTGCTGACTGACAGCTGGGCCAGCATGGCAAGTGCTTTGTCAACTGGGCCATGTCTGGCAACGATGGTACTGTGTTAAAGATGGGATTCTATAACTGGCCCAACAGTGGTTTGGTAACTCTGACCAAAATCCATCTATCTAGTTCAATAATGTGATGATGGTCTGTCTGATCAAGTCTGCAATGTTTCTAAAGACTAAGAAAAAGTTTGTAAAACTTTGACTCTGAAGGAAGCAATGCATTTTGTACATGTATAAGTTCTCTTATAATACTTTAGTGCAGGGGTCCCCAAACCTTTTCCTGTAAGGGCCACATAACTTTTCCCTTCTCTGGTGKGGGGCCGGAGTCAGTTTGTAACAGAAAAAGTGTGACTATTGCAGGAGTGCCTAAATGTAAAAATGTATTGTTTTCCAGAAAGCACAATCAAATAACCCTCTCTGGGTTCTTCACAGTATGTATTCTGCTGAGCTAACAGTCCACTTTTAAGCTTTGAGAGTTTGTTTGCTCTCATTTGGCCTTGAAGCTATCATACTTGTCTTTGTGACGGGATTCATAGTGTCACCACAGATTGTATTCTTTGAATACTGCCACCGCCTCTTCACAGATGAACAAAAAATAATTGTTTGTCCACTGC